GATTCTGTTTCAACCAACTTATGCATTTTATGAACTAATGAACATGTATACATTTATACAGAAAATGCAGATCTGCTTATCCCACCTAGTGATTAGTTCATGGAGTTGAAAAGGGACAACTTGAACTTATTATTCATGAAAAAAGTGGATATTTTTTTTATTATCATGTGCACAAGCCATGTTGTTAGTTTCATTAAAAAATATGTTTACTTTATTTCTTCTGAATTTCCCTGTGTATTTTCTGTTCAATGGGGGAATGACTTGGTTTGGTAATTTACGATGTTCGTATTCCGGACAGTCCGCCCGTTTACTGAGCCGACGGCATCAGTCAGATAAAGTAATAAGTTGTATACCAAGCGACGTTATGTATTTTACTAAGGTCGGCGTTATGCAAAAAGTTAAATGAAACGCCCACGTGAAATTATTTGAACAATGTTTTAGCACAATTTATCAGAAAACCTCAAACTCATAGCGCGTTATTTTGACGAATACCCCATAACGTGAATCAATACTACGCAAAATACTAGTAGTGTACACCACGGAACTCATAAAAAACCCAAACAGAACTAACCTGTTTCCATGATAACCACACCTTGCTACAATAATTGGATAAACTGCAATGTAACGCAAGAGTTGATTGTAAGAGCTGTCTACGGTGCGCTTTGGAAACGTGAAATGAAATGAAATGGAATCGCATGCATTGTCATACGCGCGTTCGATTGGTTCTAAGTTTGGTCGCCAAGCTGCGTTGCCATGAGCCAGTGTGGTCACGTGATCCATACATTGAACCGGAAGTTTACGACTGCGAGCCGCCTGCCAGGCCGCTTGTTGCAAGGGACTGTGTAAAACTGTGTAAACTTAGCCAGTCTTGTGTGTTGAGGGATTGTGGTGTCAGTCAGTTCGACGTGTGAAAATAAACAATACGTCGAACTTCCCGGTGCCGACAGAACCCGCCTCCCAAATTTATTATAATCTGCTATGTACGATAGTAGTTGCAACTGTCAGCCAGTCCGGGCAGCCAGTATTTTAATTTTCTTCGCGCTCAGTTGAGAGACTCGACAAAACTGTCGACTTTAATACTATAGGTGCATTTTAAATTTAGATAAATATAGTTGTACTGGTAATCCCCAGGTAAGTGACTATCAAATCGCAGTGCAAATATGATCACACCCGAATCACCCCCGTGGAGTCACAGTGGTCACTCCCGTAGTTGCCGCGGGTATGTGCCGCTGTTTTGACCCCAATTTTCTTGGTCGAGTCAATCTTTTGACCCCCCAATTTTAATATTTTCGGCCATTTTAGCAAAATCATTTTATTCAGCGAAAAACATCATTTTTTTTTAGTTGAAAGCGCCCTTAACCTCAACCCACAGAAAAATCAAGGTGAGTACCCCCACCCATCAGTCGTCATCATCATGAGGACGCATGTTAATGATATACCAAGGACGCCCTCTTAGGGCACGGATCTCTAAGACCCATTCTACATATATTTCAACTCGTGGTTAGCAAACCTGAAGACTCACGTAATTTTGCATGAGGGGCGAGATCTGAAATCTAGACCCTCTGAAACTGTATTTCCTGCATATTGAGGGGCAAGTTTAGCTGACACAAAGGGTTTCAGCTTATTTTTTTCGGGTGGGCGACCGCCCCTCCTGCCGCCGCCACTGAGACTAAATGGCAAACTTAAATTGCGCATTATGAACACCATTACCTCTTGTAACTATCTAGTAATTTAGACATGTTTTTTTGTTATTACAGCGGAAATCAGCTCCACATGAGCAGCTGGCAACATTTTTGTTTGCTTGGAAGCTTATCAAAGGTACAGCAGGTACAAGAATTGTACCTGCTAGGCAAAACACTCATAAAAAAACAAAATGGCCACCAGTCAGCTATTTTGAAACGAATCACGAAAAAAAAAGACGTGCATCAGGAACCCACCATGACTGGTGTCAATGCCAAGTTTGAATGAAATCGGTCAAGGCATGTCCAAGAAACGGTTGATGACATTTGGTGTTTTTCGGGACAAAAATGGCTGTCAGTTTGTCAAAGGTCAACCAAATAAAAAAAATAAATCAATGTGCACACTTTTCTTATTATGACTTGTCTTTGTACCAGCTTTCAAGAAAATCTGTCCAGACATCTCTGAGAAATAATGACGGACGAACAGACGGAACCCAAAACATAAGTCCCTGTTTCGGACTACGTCTGACCAGGACTAATAATATTGTACCAATAAAGATCTATCCAACTAATGATGCATGTTTATCAACACTGGGTTGTTTATAATATTACAATAATTGTCTTTGACTTCATGTGCTTATGTCTAGACACTTATTTATTATGCTTTATTTAATTAAGAATACAAACGGTGTCACTATCCTAGTGTCAAACTACACTGATTTTCGCCATGTGTTATTGTGCTTGGAGGCATGTAGGCAGATTCAGTCCTCATATTTTCTTTATGTAATGAAGTGTATTTGATGGAAGTCCTCTGCATCATACACAATCTAGTATACTTGCTTCTGCTTTCTTAAAATACTCTGCATAAATATTTTTATGAGAAAGCAACACTTTCACTTTCCATGCACGTATTACAGCAAATAAACAGGCATTTGTTCTTTCTGTTTACATACATTGTTTTATTGGTAAATCACACGCAGAATTGAAATCAACAATTATGTTTTATAAACACAGAACAATAGAAAGAACAATACATTAACATAATTCTGTAATTGTGACCGACTGGAAAACTACTACCGACTATCTATATACCTTGCCCAGCTTCTTGCTACCAACCACACTATTTATATATAAACAAAAGCCTATGTGGACGGGAAATAAAAGACAACTGTTAAATCACAAATTGGTGAGTAAATTGCTATGGCACGTCTCTCTTTAGATGGGATGCAGTTACAAAATGTTTTCCCAGTCAAGCTGACTTGAAATAAAAAACAACAACCTGATATTGATTGGCTAATTTGCATATCCTAATTAGTATACGACTTAACACATTATATATAAAACATTTGGATTTGTAAATTTATCAATTAAAATGATTAATTTGGAAACATGAGTGGTAAGGATTACAGCGCCCTCCAGAGCCAACTATAATCTGTAAATAGAGGGCGTGCTCACATTCAAAGTTTAGATTGTTATTCGCACAAACTAATATAGCTGTAGATGGGAATTAACTGATGTTAAAACACATCGTCTTTTCACATTCCAATCTACGACTCTCTAAACGTGCTAGGATACATCATCTTGTCAGCAATTAAATATAATGTGAACTTTCATTAGTTATCATTTTGAACAATTCGTTTCAGTGCGGCAGTGATCACTGAACTACCGATACACCCAGCCGATGCTAATAATAAACAAAGCATCAACAACTAAAATACTGGCATTGATTAGAATAAAATACAGACTTAACTTACTCAATATACTACCACCATTTGATTGAAAAAAAAAACATTTAGATAAATGCAAATTTGTATCACACGAACAAGAAACAACATTCAGGCACATTTTGCTTTGAAAGTTATCTCATTCATAGGAATTTCAAAAAGAAAAATCATATTTCCAGGACGGTAATTAACACAGGCAAACAATATTTACACAAGCAATTAACCAAATTATTATTACTATTATTTAAGTCATACAAATTGCGGTAAAACTGATGGGAAGAAACCAGACTGTGATACACACAGTTATAACAAGGTACATGTACTTTGTGTGGTTATATTCAAAGATGGAAAACAGTAACTCTGGTATAATTATTTTTGACTATTCAAACCCTTTATATTTCATATAATTTCTATCCAACAATTTGCACATTTTTTTAATGTATTTTTGTACAGTTTTTTTTTGGTGAATTTGGACCAAATGGATATAAATTTGCCATTGTGTATAGAACCTGATCAAATTCATTTGGAAAAATTAAGGGGAACAAATTAAGAGCTAACAAATTCAATTCATGTGGAAAAATATGTCTTTTTAAATAAAAATCTACTTTTTTACTTGGACTATATTTCCAGACTAGCGCACCCAACAACTTTTAGTACTGTATTTGTACATACCAACAAAAAGTTATGTGTGAAATACGAAGCTTTTCAAGTAACTACATAAGTTTAGTAAGTAAACTTGTAATTTGTAAGATAACATATGGATTGGATGGCAACTATAATATGGAAAGAGTTAGATAAAACAACACCTGCTAAAACAAAACACTCTTAATAACAAACAACCTTTAAGTGTATCAGAGTATTTTCTCATGTGGACTGTCAAAAAAAGAAAAAAAATCTATTAAGTGTCCTTTTTGTGACAATTGATAAAATTATTAAATCATTGCAAATTACTGTTACAGTAGCATATAATTAAGTGTATGTTATTGAGGGGAAAAATGTATTTCGTAATATTGTAGCTTGAAACAGCATGTTGCTTTTGAAGCTCAATTAAGTAGTCATTAAATGAAAAAAAAAAAAAAAACTTATAAATAATATTATGTGCAGAAATTATTATTAATATTTTTTATACCAAAATAAATCAGTACAAAATATTGCATGTTTACATTTATATTGTATTTTTAATATTTAAGGTAAAAATAGTCCAAACTTTACCAATATACCGGTAAATGATAACCATGTATATGACAGTTAGAAATGATATTTTGTTCAAACTAAAGTTCCAGCAATACTGGCACTGTTGCATATACATGTCTTAACATTTTTATGTTATCACAAACACACTCCTGGCTCAATGCTACATGAATTGAAATATAAAAACAAGTTTGAAAAAAAAAATGCAGCACATAACCCTTTGAACTAAAGTGGATGATAAAAATAAAATAAATTATTTCTTGTGAGTTCATTCATTAGGAATGTTATAAAGTTTAAGGGAATACACCCAATGGTATTGACCCCAGGTCTACACAACTTTTTAATTAAGTACTGTCGACTATAAAATAATTTCACCAGAAATCATTGTATATTTAAATCCCCCTAATGTTGGCCTAGTAATACTGATTGAAGAGATATAGTGTGAGTGAAGTGTTGTGACCCACTGCCCCACTGACTGACCCACTGTATAAACACATTATTATACATCTTTCATGTTTAATATAACATACAAGACTTTAAAAGTGATAATAGAACATTAGTCCAAATTTGAGGGAAGCCATAGTTTTCACAGTCGGGTTATTACCAATTGAATACTAAATTATAATTATAATAATATGTGTTCATGGAAACTGTAGAAGAGATATTCATCATAAAGTACATACATAATCATTATTTATTTTTGATATTTGTCATAATATAATAATTTCAAGGTCAGTCGTCATTAACACCCTGACAACAAAAAACACCGCCATTGAAGTTACAATTGTGGTGATCTATTTGCCAACGTGTTAGACTGCTGTAACTTGCACACGTACCTAGGCAACCAATCACCATGGAAATCAGATTATGATTTTCCCATCTGTCAGACTCAGAAAGTGATTGCTTGTAATTTATATGCACGGTATACTCGCGTCTCAGGAGGGAAGGGGTGCGGATAAGGTGATAATGGAAGTTTTTTTTTCACTACAAGTAATAATTCCTAATAATGATAATAATATTGAAACATAGAATAAATGTGAAAACCTAAAAGTAATGCACTGGATGGCACTTTTGTAAATTCACGCCGTAATTATGGATTTAAAAAAGACTTAGCATTCGCTTTAATATCAACAGATATACATACATATATATATCATATACCTGGTATATATACATTCAATGGTTTGAAATACATACTCTTATTTAAAACTTTTAATTAAAAAACAATTAACAAAATATACACATACGTTATAATCATCATTCCCTTCATTCATCTGTGACCTGTTGTATATTACTTAGAAATTAGAATCATGAATGTGAATATTGAATAAATGACAAGCATTTGGACATTGCTGTGATTACTGCATATATCGTGGACTAAGCAGTTTGGCAACTTCTGGATTTCAACCAAATACCGTTTCTTCACAGAACTTCAACTGCCATATTTTGCCGGCGTATACATCAAATTTCTCCTTACCCATCAAATCCACAAGTCGAGGCTGTAATGTAAAATTAAATGTCATATTTTTAAAACGTCTCCAATGGAGATTAATTACGTGGCTTGCATACATTTTAATGGAAAATTATACAGATCTGAAAGTATTTCATTACATTTACCTCAACTTCTTCGCCATCCACGTCTTCCAGGATCTCGTACGCCCTTTGTAACATTTCCACACCGATTCCCTTGAGTATATCTTTCCTCAGAAGTCCGATTCTATCCATTAATCTTCCACAGGTGGTCAGTGTTAAATTACCTACAATAGAAACAGTGGTATAACAATCACACACATGGATTCAGTGGCATTATTTGCCAGTCACTAGAGTCAGGACATTATTTGACATACGTTATTATAACTGTACTTCAAATGTCACATTCTAAATTCCCCTATGTGTGACGATGGGAATATACCTTCTGATTGCTGGTTCAAGTTAGATTGTAAACTAATTTTTTTTTATCAATCACTAGTGGTGTGCTGAACAATAAAAGCTAATAACTGTGTAATGAAGTTGTACTTTGATCAAATTCTTGAGACTATTATGTGAAATATTTGATAGTCCTAAGACCCTAATAATTTTTTCAGAGCGCAATTTCATTTACTCAAAATTTTGTAAATTTTGAAATTTCCTTTCATGGTTGAAAACTTCATATATTGAAAGAACAGGGATCAAAATAGCCTTAAAATTTTTAAATAATTAAATGCAATGTACTTACCAACCCCTTTTGGAGCTCTGGGAGCTGCGGCCTCTATTTCAAGATAGTCCTCACCATTCTTAAGGTTATTAACTTTTGCCACCGGAGCAGGAGGAGGCATGTATTCAGGGGGTGTCACAGCGACCTCAGGCGTAGGCGCCACATCAATTGGTGTTATCAGTGTTCCATCTGGTGAGTCCTTATCTGATAAATCTTCAAGGGTTTGCATATCCTCCATCTTTAGCGTCGTTTCAAGCATTTTAGAAAACCTCTTCATTTCTTTCTCCTCCCTAGAAGTAAACGCAGCATGATTTAGAGACACACTTCAAACAAATACAATATATATGATATACATGTACATGTTAAATCAATGCTGACTGGATATACATGTACACATTTACTATTGTTCATACTTTTTGTTT